TGTGTGTGTGTGGGTGTGTGTGTGTGTGTGTGTGTGTGTGTGTGTGTGTGTGTGTGTGAGAGAGTGAGAGTGTGTGTGTGTGTGTCTCTATGGCTCACTCTGCTGCTGTCGTGGTAGATGAAGATGTTTCGTGTGATGTTGTCTCTCAGGTAGGTGATCTGCAGGCCGTTGGGGTTTCCGATCTTGTCCGGCTGGAAGCAGGCATTCATGGTGTCCACCTTTATAACGGCTTTGGGTTCTTTAGCCTACAGAGACATTTGCCCATTTTCAACCAGCTTTACACTGTTATAATGTCAGTAGCACATGTAAGTAAATGTGTGCAATGTGTATTATTTTCACCCTGTTTGTCTTTTGTGAAAACTACAGATCGTACTTCCACATTTTTGTATCCCGAAGTGTTTTTTTTTTTTTTGCCACAACCCTTCTCCTCTGTTTTCTTTAATAGTGTGGCACCGATTAATAAAAAAAATGCAAATGTATATTAAAAAAGTGCATTTATACTGCATAGACAGTCAACTTATTAAAATCCCATCTTGCTAAAACTAAAACAACAACAAAAAAAGTTACTATCGACATTGAAATAAAATAGAATATATAAAACTTAAACATGTTATTATTTTCTGCTATTTTGTTTCATTTAGAAATGTTACATTACAGAAGAAATGCATTCTGACCGCTCGTTCATGTTTATGTTGTTAAATACATTGTACCATAAAGATTTATAAAGTATCATAAGTGCTAATAAAACTAATAAAATCTATAGACACATTTTTAAAAAACTAATTAAAATGACAAAAACAACAAAATTACTAAAAGTTTAACTAAAATTAGACTTATAATATAAAAATTTAAAATATTTGTATTTAATATAATATAAAATAAAAAACATTTATGTGTAGTATAATAAAAAATATTCATGTTTAATATAATATAACATAAAATATAAAAATAAACTCTAATTCGCAATGTTAACACAGACTATAGCAGTATCTCAGTGATGGTAGAATATCCGCGGCACGCTTGCGCTGACACTCACGTCGAGTTTAGTGTAGTCGATATAACTTAACACAATCTAATCTCGATGAATAAAATCAAGGAAAGTCCTACATTATTTCCTGCTTTTCTGTTTCATTCAGAAATGTCACATTACAGAAGAAATGCAGTATGACTGCTCTTTCATGTTCATGTTGTTAAACACATTGTATCATAAAGATTTAAAAAGTAACAAAGTATCATAAGTGCTAATAAAATTAATAAAAACTATATAGACACAAATTAAAATGACAAAAACACAACAAAACGACTAAAATGTTAACTAATATTACACATTTAAAAAATATTAAAAAAAACTCTAATCTTAACAAAAACTATAGTAGTCTGTCAGTGATACTGCTGCATGCTTGCGCTGACACTCACATCGAGTTTAGTGTAGTACTTTAGTGTGCCGTCCCTCAGCGACAGGACGAATCGTCTGTTGAGGAACTGTCCGTTGTCCCGCCCCCTCTTCATTAGCATGCCATCTCTCGTCTCTGTGATTGGTCAAACGAGCGTGTCAATCATCAAGCGGGCCTACTCTTCTACTACACATGCTTTTCTTCACATAAAGAGTGCATACTAAGAGTGTAGTGTAAGTAGGCAAACTGAATGTGTTTACAACACTGTGCAGGCCTCTGCTTGTAAAAACCGTCGAGATTTAAATTCCAGCTGAAATGGGATAAACTTTCACAGGTGAGAATGTCTTGGTTTATTATGAGTTTATAAGGTCAGTATTACAGGTTGGTAACTTTTAAATGTCGTCTTAGCTAACGGCTTGGTCTTGTTGTATTGTGTGAGTTTATCAGTATAATCTGAACTAGTCTGTTGCCGATGTAGACATTCATGCATGTGTATAACTACAGTTGCAGACGCACAATCAACTTGTTTATTATGCATTATAATGATTAAATTAATTAACACGATTGCCAGTTTATATGGTGACAGGAGGCACGTAACTCTTAAAAATGCAATTATGAGAAAGCAGTGTTTCCCAATGCTTGATTCTCTTGTAGGGCGTAGTATGAGTATGTGGATTGGGACACAGCTTCAGTAGCTTTGGTCTTGCATGCCTGAAAATAGCTGCCCGGAGGCGTCACAAATATGGCCGCCGAGTGAACAGACTTTCCTCTAAAGGGACTTTGGCTGAGGGTCACGACAGATCGGCTCTTTCTCTCTTTCCACATGTGTTGCAGTGGACAGACTTCCAGAAACACACTTCCTATATCTTCATCAGTCTCTCGACCGCTCACACACTCCTCATCTCTCTCTCTCTCTCTAGAAATATGTAGAAATCACACACACCACACCTTTAGTCTGTATCTGATCCTGTCCCAGCAGCCACAGCTCGTGTCCAGACAAACACAATCCCACAATCCTGATCTCTGGAATATCATTTCTAAACCCTAAGTGAGTCATCCTGAATCAGGAGGAGAAGGTTCTCCTGAAAGCACATCCTGTCTTGCATGAGTACAGTCACAACCCTGAACCCATGATCCAGCACGCCTGTCTTAACTTCTCAAACTCCTGCAGTCTCTCATGAGCACACAGGCATGTCTGGAGACACTGATTTAAAGCATCTTGGCTTCATGCACTCTGAATAGAATCGCGTATAATCAAATAAGGTTGTGATAGAGTGCTTGCAACATCTCAGAGCCGAGTCGTCAGAGTTCGTCGTAGCGTCGCGCGCGGTGTTCCAGCCGAGTCGCCCCCGTGTGTCTCGAGCGCGCGTTTATCCGCTCGCGCAGGTTCGGTCGTGCCTCGCGCGCCCGGTTCCGGTTGTTCGGTGACTGTTTCATGCGTGTGCATGCAAGAACTTACTGTCGGCGCCGCAGTCCGCGCAGCTGCCGTTCCCCGGCTTCTGCAGGACGTGTCTGAGGGTTCTGGCCGCGCGCTCGTTGTCCGTCATCGGTCCGGTGGAGCGGCGGGTCGGTGTCTCCTCACGAGCGCTGCGGCGGGAGCAGGAGGAGGAGGAGGAGGAGGAGGAGGCGCTGGTCTGATGGAGGTGTTTCAAACATTCGGAAGTGAAGCAGCAGAGTTTGTTCAGACTTGTTGTTCCGCATCAGAAACGCCACAGTGTGTGTGTGTGTGTGTGTGTGTGTGAGTGTGTGTGAGTGTGTGTGTGTGTGTGTGTGTGTGTGTGTGTGTTCCAGAGCGCCATCACATCAACTACACATTATATAAACACAAACTCACAGATTAAATATCTATTATTTACACACTACACAGATTATAACGCAGAATTTACATATAAATAACACAAATGTAGCTACTGTACACAACCTACACCAACTTAAAGATTATGTACATAAACAAATTACGAATTATTGATTTACTAACATAGCATAATCACAGAATATTAACACCCAGGAAGAAAGAAAGGACTTGCTAAAACAAATACAATTAATATTTAATAAAATTTGTATGACTTTTTCCCACTTTGTTTATAATTTTATTTTTATTTTTTTTATTCTTGCTATTTATTTGTGTTCATTTATTTATATATTTAAACTATATAAAATAAAATGTCATACTTGGAACCTGTTTGTGGGGGGAAATGAAAAAAAATCTGGTTTGTATTTAAAACGGGTTACAGTATAATAGACTTGGTGCCATTTTGGTTCAATTAAAAAAAATACACACATATATATATATATATTTTTTTTTCTTCTTTTTTTTTTTTTACTGCATTAAACAGCATCAGAGCCACCAGGGGGCCCCCAAGACTACATGAATAACAGCTTGTTTTATTTATTTATTTATTTAGTGATATATTACATCACTGGACATTACACCAGAGCATCAAAGGATTTTAAAACTGATCATGTTTTGGGGTGGAGAGGGGACTAAATGAACCTGGGGGACACAAATCATATCTGAGGGGACAGTGCTAAGACTTTGAATGTTAAAGTGCAAATGAACACCTGTCCACTCTTGTGGGTTTGCTACTGTTACAATCAAAAATCGTAGAAGGGTAAAAACATGGCAGGCAGACATTGGTATGATATAAGCAACACGGCTACAACAAATACAACTGATAATGGGTGTGTTAGATTTATAGTGTGCGAATAATCAATAAAGGCTTGGGCCGGCCCTGCATAGCATCACATCAGTTAAACTATGGTACGCTTTGATTTAAAATGTTTGTGATAGCCTTCCTTTTGACGTGAAAAGCAGGCTATAGACTGTGTTTAGAGTCGCTGAATCAACTCTTTTGGAGTCACTAGAGGAAAGGCTATTTGCAAATAATCATAAAAAATGTAAAGTGTGAGACTTGCTACTTCTGGAGGTGAAGCTGGATCACGAACACTGGGTACTGATCCATCTGTGAGCTTTAACTTCTTTGCAAAACCTGCCTTGAACTGTCCCTCAGAAAGCAGTCTGGAGCAAACGAATTTCAGTCTGTTCGGTGGCGCATTGCCATTAAAAATAATGAAGACGCTTGCGTTCACTTTAAGAGGAAATGATGGGCAGCGTACAGCTGGCAGGGGGCGGAGATATGCTAATACGGGACGGTCCGTCAGCGGAGTGCTGCATTACTCTCAGCTGCATTTAACACAGTGCACCATGTTTAAATGCAGTCCATTATATTCCCCTCAAAATTAATGCAAAAAAAAAACAATTTGTTTTAGCAGATTTTGATTGAGTCGCTCACAGAATGGAATCGGAACCACAGAACAAATAGAGGAAGAGATTCAGCAATCTGAAAACAAGTAGCACGCATGTGAAAAATCAGATTGAGGAAAAACTGACGGAGAGAAAGTGAGAGAAGGAGAAGAGGCCATGAGCTGCTCCTTCAAGAAATCGTTGCATTAACCAGCAGCTTAACATCCTGACCTTTAGATAATAGAGCTGCACATTTCACTGTAATTCATCATCAGCTGAAGACACACACACACGCACACACGCACGCACACACACAGACACACACAGATACACACACATTCACATGCACACACGCACACACACACACTCACGCGCGCGCACACACACACACTCACGCGCGCGCACACACACACACTCACGCGCGCGCACACACACACACTCACGCGCGCGCACACACACACACTCACGCGCGCGCACACACACACACTCACGCGCGCGCACACACACACACTCACGCGCGCGCACACACACACACTCACGCGCGCGCACACACACACACTCACGCGCGCGCACACACACACACTCACGCGCGCGCACACACACACACTCACGCGCGCGCACACACACACACTCACGCGCGCGCACACACACACACACACTCCCACACACACACACACACACACTCACGCGCGCGCACACATGCACGCGCACACACACACACACACACGCACACACACACACACACACACACACACACACACACACTCCTATCTGAAGCTTCTCTCTGCATGTGTTTTGTTTATTTCTTGGATTCACTTTGGCTTCATCATCTCCAAAGATCTCCTTGATCTTCTCAGATAAAAAATTCCATTATACTGAAACATCCTGCAACGTTGAGAAGGTAAATCATCCTCCTCAGTCCATAAGGAGCATGTGCACAAAATTTAAGATTTTCACAGTGAAGCCATTGAAGAACCATTTCTGGTTCCCTAAAGAACCTTTCAGTGATCAGTTCTTAAAAGAACCATGTTTTTCTTAGTTTGAAGGACATTTGAATAATCTAAATAAACTTTTTCCACTATAAAGAACCCTTTCTGCAATGGAAGGATTCCACAGATCTTAACGGTTCTTATTGGGACCTTAACGAATCTTTATTTTGAGTGTGCTGTCATGCACTAAACAGAAAGGACTCGTTCTGAACTTCTGCAGCTTTCTGACGTCACACACAGACGACTGTCCACAGTTACACATCCATGAACAGAAACCTGGTCTATCCAGTTAAACTGAGGTCATGAGGAGGAAGCAGGGCAGACATTATTATTCCTGAACAGCAGAAGAGCTGACGATACATGCGTAAAGGCTTGAGCTGTTCCTGGAGATGTTCAGTGTTTGCTGCTGTTTTAAACACTTAAAGTTATTGAAGGATTTCAGTGTGAATTCTCCCATAATCCCTATCAAACTCTTGCTCTTCAGCGTGGTTGTGGATCGTCTCTTCTGTGGTAAAGGCTGTAACAGGCAGATTTAGTCTCAGCTGTTAGCATACGATCGTAATCCGTTCCGGCTGCGTTTTGTAATCCTAATGGCCGTTTGCCGTCGCGGTGGAAGCGTTTGATGTGACTCAGAGGCGTCTGTTTGCTCAGCACCGGCTGAAACCGTGCCCGACGTTCACACCATGAGCCTCTCTGAGTACACACACACGCACTCATAAACACACACACACACACACTCACAAACACACACACACACAGATACACACACTCACACACGCACTCATAAACACACACACATGCACTCACAAACACACACACACACAGATACACACACACTGACTCGCACTCATAAACACACACACACGCACTCACAAACACACACACACACACACACAGACACACACACAGACACACACACACTGAC